GTGATTTCACGACGAGTGTCATAAGGGTACTGTTACTTTTGGCGCCATAGGCAATGACTCGTTCGTCTTAGCCCAACCAAACTCAACAGAGTAATACATGAAGGTTCAACCAATAGAACGCCACCTTCTTTCAACAAATGGCGCCACTAATACTGTCTGTATAGAAAAAGTTCGGATACTTTTGGGACACACCTTGTATGTTCCTGCTATAGAGGGTGGCCGAAAAGTCACCGTACCCCTATCTAACATTTCATATATTTCATAACTGGAGATCTAAAAATAGATTCAAGATAGTGATATCAAGAGGCGATTTCACCCATTTCGATATCACGTGTCAAGGTCCAGCGTTCCTCAATTTTAGGGTAGGCGTAGCCCTCTTAAAGCTAAATACCTGGCATTTATGTCTTTTTTATTTTGTTTTTTTTTTTTGTTTTTGACTATCCTAGTCGCTTACTCTCTAGTACCTAACGTCAACATTACCCCCACTTTTTTGCCTGTCCATAAAAGCATCCAGTTTCTTCTTAATAATAGTCACAGAAGGGGCAGAAACTACTTCCTCATCTAACGCATTCCACGCATTCACCACTCTGCAAGTAAAGAATTCCTGTTTCGACCTGAGCCGCACCTGCGGTGTGCGCAACTTAAGTTGGTTACCTCTCGTTCTCTTGCTGCCATGTTTGACCTTTTTTTGATAGTGTGAGCTGTAATAGATAAGGAAATTAATTCTTGAAAGCCTGGATGAGATCGCTCCTCCTTAACCTTCGTTCGAGCGAGTACGGTCCCAGCACTTCTAAACGCTTCTCGTATAATAATCCCCTGATCTCCTTAATCATTCTTGTGGCCCTCCTCTGTACTCCTTCGAGCGCCAACAAATCGCCCTTATTTGTAGGCCTCCAAAACTGGATTTAATATTCTAACTGGGGTCATACCAGCGCCGCATACAACGGAAGAATAACGCGGGAATTCCTACTTGCAACCGAACGACGAATGTAACCTAGAATCCTGTTGCATTTTGCCACCGTCGCTTGCGCGTGCGAGGAAAACTTGAGGTCATCATCGATAGAAACTCTTAAATCTCTCTCTCCGTTTGCCTCATCCAATTTAACATCGCCGAACGTGTCGAAAGACCTACCGTTGTTTCGACCGACGTGGAGAACTTTACACTTACATTTATTNCCCCCCCAAAAACAGCAGTAGTGGCCTCAAATGAGAGAAATCCTTTAAGAGGACACCATCCACCTCATGCTTCAAAACAGCAATGTGTAGGAATGTGAAAACCAATTTTCAATGGTTTTACCTTTCTTCAACCTGAACCTAGTCGAAAATCACATCTCAAAAGCGAGATTAAGTGATCTCCAAAACCCCAGGGAGATGTAGCTTCAAATTTGTTTGAGCGATTCTATTTTGAGAGAGGAAGAAGTATGCCAAATTACGTTCCTGTTGATGCTCTCAGAGAGGAAGACAAGACGGTTGAATTTTATCGCCGGAACGAGTTGAAGGAAGGTAATGGGGGCTACCGCGCCCATTGATTTCATGAGTGGACTTTGAGCGACTGTCACCTTTTATCCTTCCGACCAAGACAATTGATACTTCCAGGAAACAAAACTGTATAGTGCTGTCAATGCCATGCAAAATTAAGAACCTAGAGTTTCCAAAGTCTGTTTTAAAAGACAATGATAATGCTTTTTTTGCGGTACCAATGCATATACGCAAAATAAATATGTAGGAAGGAATGGGTTCTTATTATGTGCACTTATTTTCTAACTGCTCTAAATGACTCTGGATGTGTGCATCTGCAGGGTGGCCGAAAAGTCACCGTACCCTTATCTACCTTATTTTCATATATTTCGCGAATAGAGATCTAAAATTACCCGTATGCACATCTCACACGCCCGCTCAACACAGAGGTGCGTGGGCCTGGCTCGAAACAGCGCATGCGTGACTGGTTAGGAGACTTCTGCGACAGCTCAGCAGAATTCAATTTTGGCGGTTAACCATGGCGGACACCAGTAGCTACACCATTGAGGAGCGCTTAGTGGCAAACGTGTGGGTGCATGAAAGAGAGCACACCGGACAGGTGATGGACCAGGTCATGGCAGCGTTCCAGGCACGATTTGGAAAGCCACCTCCGCGTAAAGCAACATTATTAGCATGGGAGAAACGGGAAGTTTTCCCTCGGCAGTGTGGACGGCCCGCCCAGTGGTCGGCCGATAACCGAGTGGACACGTGTGCCACTGTAGTTGCCTCCATTGCACATTCATCACATCGGCTTTACGCGGATGTGGCTTTCCAAATCATTCCTGGAACGCTGCCATCACCTGTCCGGTGCGCTTTCTTTCATGGACCCGCATACTCGCCACTAAGCGCTCCTCAATGGTGTAGCTACTGGTGTCCGCCATGGTTAACCGCCAAAATTGAATTCTGCTGAGCTCTCGCAGAAGTCGCCTAACCAGTCGCGCATGCGCTTTTTCGAGCCAGGCCCACGCGCCTCTGTGTTGAGCGGGCGTGTGAGATGTGCAAACAGGTATTTTTAGGCCTTTTTTAGGGTTGTAGATGGGGGAGCAAGGGATCACAAGCAATGGACAGCCACTACGTGCAGCTTTATACCGTCGCGCAATGGTGTGCAGGAAAGGCAGGGAAGAGTCAAGTGTTTCTACGCGAATGCACGCAGCTTACGTAATAAAATAGACGAGCTCAGGGGGAGGGCACTGGACAACGGTTTCGATGTCATCGGAATAACCGAGACTTGGGGTGGTTCTCACATTTCGGATAAGGAATTCGAGATCGAAGGGTACGACATCTTGCGGAAGGATAGGCTCGGCAGAAAGAGGGGAAGAGTCGTGTTGTACGCTAAAACCGAACTGGGCGTTCCCGTCAGAGAAGATCTCACCTCGACTAACTGTGGAGCAATCGAACACTTATGGTGCGAGATCGGGGGGACAACTGGGAAGATCGTGATAGGAATTTGCTATAGGCTCCTCTCTCGAGGATGAAGCAGCTTATTTTGCACTCATGCGCGACGGTATAAAGCTGCACGTAGTGGCTGTCCATTGCTTGTGATCCCTTGCTCCCCCATCTACAACCCTAAAAAAGGCCTAAAAATACCTGTTTGCACATCTCACACGCCCGCTCAACACAGAGGCGCGTGGGCCTGGCTCGAAAAAGCGCATGCGCGACTGGTTAGGCGACTTCTGCGAGAGCTCAGCAGAATTCAATTTTGGCGGTTAACCATGGCGGACACCAGTAGCTACACCATTGAGGAGCGCTTAGTGGCGAGTATGCGGGTCCATGAAAGAAAGCGCACCGGACAGGTGATGGCAGCGTTCCAGGAATGATTTGGAAAGCCACATCCGCGTAAAGCCGATGTGATGAATGTGCAATGGAGGCAACTACAGTGGCACACGTGTCCACTCGGTTATCGGCCGACCACTGGGCGGGCCGTCCACACTGCCGAGGGAAAACTTCCCGTTTCTCCCATGCTAATAATGTTGCTTTACGCGGAGGTGGCTTTCCAAATCGTGCCTGGAACGCTGCCATGACCTGGTCCATCACCTGTCCGGTGTGCTCTCTTTCATGCACCCACACGTTTGCCACTAAGCGCTCCTCAATGGTGTAGCTACTGGTGTCCGCCATGGTTAACCGCCAAAATTGAATTCTGCTGAGCTGTCGCAGAAGTCTCCTAACCAGTCACGCATGCGCTGTTTCGAGCCAGGCCCACGCACCTCTGTGTTGAGCGGGCGTGTGAGATGTGCATACGGGTAATTTTAGATCTCTATTCGCGAAATATATGAAAATAAGGTAGATAAGGGTACGGTGACTTTTCGGCCACCCTGCAGATGCACACATCCAGAGTCATTTAGAGCAGTTAGAAAATAAGTGCACATAATAAGAACCCATTCCTTCCTACATATTTATTTTGCGTATATGCATTGGTACCGCAAAAAAAGCATTATCATTGTCTTTTAAAACAGACTTTGGAAACTCTAGGTTCTTAATTTTGCATGGCATTGACAGCACTATACAGTTTTGTTTCCTGGAAGTATCAATTGTCTTGGTCGGAAGGATAAAAGGTGACAGTCGCTCAAAGTCCACTCATGAAATCAATGGGCGCGGTAGCCCCCATTACCTTCCTTCAACTCGTTCCGGCGATAAAATTCAACCGTCTTGTCTTCCTCTCTGAGAGCATCAACAGGAACGTAATTTGGCATACTTCTTCCTCTCTCAAAATAGAATCGCTCAAACAAATTTGAAGCTACATCTCCCTGGGGTTTTGGAGATCACTTAATCTCGCTTTTGAGATGTGATTTTCGACTAGGTTCAGGTTGAAGAAAGGTAAAACCATTGAAAATTGGTTTTCACATTCCTACACATTGCTGTTTTGAAGCATGAGGTGGATGGTGTCCTCTTAAAGGATTTCTCTCATTTGAGGCCACTACTGCTGTTTTTGGGGGGGCCTCCTTTCATTATTCGTATAACTGCGTATAGCGCAACGTTTTTGCCTAATCATGAAAATTGCCGCCATTGTACTAATTGCATGGAATGAGCAATTCCTTTTGCTAAATGCGTGCAATAGGCAAAAATGCTGCCGATTGCACGCCTTGAGCAATCACCTAATTGATTTCGTACGCTGTGAAATACGAGAATTTTGCCGAAATTGTCATAATGACCGTTTGACAATACCATCAACCAAGCAATATACAGTTTTGATTCAGGCAGGTATTACCAGAATGGCATGAGCTCCCACATCTAATCCCTACTTTCTTACAAGTTCCTTTTTTAGTTTTGGACCCAGGTCTTACATTGGCATTTTCTGAAGCCCGGCCTCACGCCTATTGAGATGACAGTAACGATTTTGCAACGTCTTCTCCTCGGTCTTGATGCCATGCATTTTTACGATCTTCGCTTTTAACGATTCCACTGCGGTATTACAGCTGTTGAGTTTCCCATCTCTTGCTCCGATCTTGTGCTTCCCGTCCTTCCTTTCCAAAACCAATCCAGTTATGTTTGGGGGATCAGTTCGGTCTCGATCAAATTCAATGACAAGAACAGTAACTATTTTTTCATAGATAGGTTCCACACCGCTTCATTAAAGGGGAAGCGGCTGCTGACTGGCAGTCTTATTACGCCCGTGAGCTGCTTAAATCCCAGCTCAGCGTCCACGCGACAGCTGTGCCCCAATCTGAGAGAAAACTTAAGCCTTACAGGAAGAGAAGAATGAGTACACCTTATTGATTCGAAAAACTTCCTCCTCGGAACTTCCCTTGCTTATTGCGTGAAAAAAGCACGTGGAATGCGGGCGAAAGGCAATGTTTTCGCTCATTTCATGATATACACAATCACGTCGCTTTTTGCGCGCATTCGGCAAAAACTTGCGCAATGCGCGCAATGAGCTGTTGCACGAATCACGCATAACATACTGTATACACCATTCTCCATGAGTGTCTGCTCATGAGAAATATCT